AATATGTGGTTATTCAATTAGTTTACCGTTAAAATTCTAGGCATCTTTTAGACACTGTGATTGTTGACCCCCATTTCTGTAGTTGAAAGGTCTTAACTTCATCTAGCTGAGGTTTACTCTATAATTTGTCATTAGGCTTCACACTGTTTGAGGTATTTATTGAACCATTAATATGTTCATTCCTTTTTTATATTGCTAGTTCATTTTTTTTTGAAAATTAAGCATTTCATTCATCAACTAGGAATAAACAATTCCCTATAAGAAAACAAGTTCAGATTTAGATTTTAAGTTGCTATCTTAACCCATATCAACTTAAAATATAGGCTTTGCAAAAAGAACACAAAACAAAAGAATCCCAACCATTCCCTATACAAAAAACCCTTTCCACAAAAAAAAAAAAAGGGTTCATCGCAAGTCCTATACATCAATTCAACCTACAATCAAAGATCGTGTCACATCAATGGCAAATCTGATTCAATCAATATCAACAGTGTACACCTCAACTCATTTCAGCAGCAGCCATGAAGCTTAAACTTCAACACAAAAATTAGCCAAATCAAATATCCAATTCCAGTGATTCCCAAACCAAACCATAAACAAACATACTTGTAGTGGAGAAGCAGCACCTTGCAAAAGTCACCAGGTTTCCAATACTCAGGTACATCCTGTTGGAATTCCTTGAATGATGGCTACATCAAACACTCATTCAAAAGAGGCTTTGGAATAACCTAAACAAAAAAGACAAAGTTTGAAGGGACAGAAGCTTCTTTCAAGGGCTGAATTACATGTTGGTGCCCATGTGACTTAGTTCTTGCAGTTCCAGATGCTGTCTACTTCATTTGAGAATAAGTTCTTGCAACCCATGTGACTAAAGAATGAATAGATAACATTTCTATTATACATTTAGGTATAAAGGTGTCAATATGTGAATTTGAGGTGTGGGCATTATAGAAATAATAAAACTTTAAGATGTGGGTATACAGCATTCTTATTATACAATAAGGTATAATGGTGCCTATATGGTGTAATGGTGCATATTAGATATTTAAAGTACTTGACGTGGCATTCCTATTGTGTAAAAACGGCACAGTGGTGCTTATAGAAAGAAAAAACTTTAAATGTGTGGGCATTGGGCATTCTTATTATACATTCAGGTATAATGGTGCCAATGTGTGAAATTGAAATCTTAGTATGTGGTGCATTTCTATTATATGATTGAAGTTATAATAGTACATATTATACATTTAAACTACTTGATATGGCATACAAATTGTGTAATTATGGCACAATGGTGCTTATAGACATAAAGAACTTTAAGGGTTGGGTATGTAGCATTCCTATTATACATTACGGAATAATAATGCCAATATATGAATTTCAAATCTGAACATATAGTGCATTCCTATTATGTAATTGAAGGTATAATGGCGCAAATTAGATATTTAAAATGCATGACATGGCATCCCCATTGTGTAAAAATGGCACAATGGTGCTTTTAGGAATAATAACACCCTAAAGTGTAAGCATGTGTAGCATTCCTATTATACATTAAGGTATAATGGTGCCTATCTGTGAATATGAAATCTTAGTATATGGTGCATTCCTATTAATTGATCGAAGGTGTCGTGATGCAAATTATATATTTAAAGTACTTGACGTGGCATTCCTATTGTATAATAATGGCACAATGGTGTTTTTAGAAATAATAACACCCTAAAGTTTAGGCATGTGTAGCATTCCTATTATACATTAAGGTATAATGGTGCCTATACGTGAATATGAAATCTTAGCATTCCTATTATACATTAAGGTATAATGGTGCCTATACGTGAATATGAAATCTTAGAATATGGTGCATTCCTATTAATTGATCGAAGGCGTAGTGATGCAAATTAGATATTTAAAGTACTTGACGTGGCATTCCTATTGTGTAATAATGGCACA